CTCGTGAGCCTCAAGCCGGCGAGTCATAGCCTTTGGAAGGCTTTGGGTCAGGAATGTCTGGGGGGGACCACCGGAGCTTGTTCTCCATTGGTTCCGACCGCCGTCTGCCAGGGTTTGGGTCGGGTTGACCTGGGAAGAATGATGGGGAAGCGTTGGAGTCGGGGGTAAGGTCAATTTGGCCTGGGAGGCTTGAGTTGAGCTGGTGGCTGGGTTGGACCCAAACCTGCTCGGTTTGGGTCAAATTAAGCTCAATCCAGGTCAGGTTAGACCCTGGGCCTGATATGGGAGGTGGGTCTAGGTCTGCTGCACCCAATGCAAGTGGCAATTGGGTTCAATTTGATCTGGGTTGGAAGATGGCTAGGGTCCATGTGGTTATGGCTACTTTGGGCTAGCCTAAAAGTTGACTCAAGTCAACCTGAATCATGGGTCGACTGGAGGGGGTGTATTGGACCTAGAGCCACCTATTGGAGGTGTTGATCAAGTTTAATTTGGCATAGGTCAGAAACTGACTCAATCCCAAGTGGTTTTGGGCACTTTGGGTTAGCCTAATTCTTGGCCCAAGTGGAGTCAGGGGCTGGGTTGGTCAAGGGAGGTGTATTGGGTTAAGGGAGACCCAATGGAAGTCTTTGTCAAGTTTGATTTGGCTTAGGATAAGAATTGGCTCAATCCCAAGTGGTTTTGGCTACTTTGGGTTAGCCTAATTCTTGACCCAAGTGAGCCTAAGGGCTAAGCTGGTCAAGGGAGGTGTATTGGGTTATTAGGAACCCAATGACACCTTGATTTGGATTCAATTTGATTAAGGTTGAGAAGTGGTTCAAAGGAGACCCTTCTTTAGCCACTTGGGTAAAGCCAAAAGGCTAACCCAAGTGAGCCTAAGGCTTCGGTGCCCAAGAAGGACCTCTTGAGTGCTCAAGGAGTCATCCCTTGGGTTCAAAAGGGATTGAAATGATCTTGGTCCAAGAATTTGCATGAAAAGAGGTGTATGGATTAATTGGTCAAACTTGGTTGACTTGGTCAACCAGGTTGACCCAATGTCTGGGTTTGGGTCCAACATATTGGGTTTGACATTTGAAACTTGTTGGAAGTGGTTCCAAGCAATTTGGAGTTCATTTGAGTTGAAATGGGTATTTCAATCCCATAAGGGTATTTTGGTCATTTTGACCCCATGGTCAACCAGGGGTCAAAATGGGTCTAGAAAAATGCAGTTTACTGCTCAATGGGTTATAATCAAACGTCTGGAGGTGACTAGATTCTTTGGAGAAAGCTCTAGGGTCAAGATCTATTAAATGGTATGTTCAGTGGCATAGACTGTAAATATCTAAAAGTTTTACAACCTTTGGATTTTGATTTAGATTTTAGGGTTAGGGACCTCAGAATGGGCTCAAATTTGAAGGGTAACCTCCAGAGACATGTCTTATCACTTTGCAAGTGATAGACTCTAAATCAGAGGTCATTTGACTGGGTTTTGAAGTGTTTGAAAATTCCTTGGAAAAGGTCTTTACAATCATTTGGTGATTTTTAATGATTGGATGGGGTATGAGCTAGATCAAAGGTAAAATCAAAGTCTAGATTGAAGTTTGGATTCTCAACTGGACTAGGTCAAAGTTTGAATGTATTCGAAGTTTGAAATGATTGAAGCTTAGATTGGTTTAAGATTTAAATTGATCAAAGAACTGAAGGGATCCTAGAATCTAGGGGGGTTCTAAGATCTAGGATATGGAAGGATTCTAGGATCTAGATAGGTCTTAGGGTTTGGAATCTAGAAGGATCTTAGGATCTAGGGTCTGGAGTAATCCTAAGCTCTAGAGTGAATCCTAAAGTCTGGATCTAGAAGAATCCTAGAGTCTAGAATAGATCCTAAGACCTGAAGTCTAGAAAAGTCCTAGGGTCTAGAGTCTGGAAGGGCCTTAGTGACCTCATACAAAAATGAGGTCAACACTTAGAAAATCCCTACTTCTTTTCCTTGTCTTCTACTTTGTAGTCAAAGGATATGATATCACTATTTTAATCGAGAATTTTCTTAGGAGCATCCCTCCTAAGATGTAATTAACTATAGGGGCTTGTCTCTATAGGGATTTGAGAACCCCAGACTAAAATAAACCTTATTTTATTTATATAAACTAAGGGAAGAATCTTTGGGAATGCAGATGCCTTTAAAAACTTCATTTCTAATCTTAAATATACTTGTATGATGTTATTATTATCTTTTCAGATAATATAATGTCCTGTTTGTTATATTTAATTTTAGAAATGATGAATTTTATAAAACTCATTCTTGTTTTTGGATGTCTCGAAGAATGTTATGTTCGTCTTTTAAGATGATATAATATTCTCCTTGTTATATCTAAATAAAAGAATGAATAAATTTTTCAAAAAATTTATTTCTATTTTTAAACATATTCTTAAGAATTTCATGTTTATCTTTCGAAATAATATGCTATTCTTTGATCTGTGTTTGATTATAAAAATATTAATTTTCAAAACCCTATTTTGATATTGAATCCATTATATAATATTGTGTCAATCTATCGAGATTGTACTTTATTCTTAATGCAGTATTTGATTACAAAATAAGAGAAATCAAAATCTATGTGGTGACACAATTTTTCCCACCAAATATGAAGAAGAAGAATGAGAAAAAGAGGGAAAAGAATATGAAGAAGAAGAATGAGAAGAAGAAGAGACTCACCGTGATCATGAAGGGCTCCCGACCTAGATTCGCCTAGGAGATGCGACGTCGCTTGCGGTTCGCTATCGAGACGGAGCGGAGATCTTTCGGTTTCGGAAAGGAGAAGAAATTGGGGATTTGGAAATGAGAGGGAATGAGATATTTGGGTCACAGTAATCTTGAACCGATTTTAACCGTGCAAAATATAACTTTTAACACCGGTTTAAAAACCGCATTAATAAAATTGGTGCGAAAAGGATTATTTTTTGGTAGTACCATTTTGATCCAATATGATGAAATAATAATTTCAATTACTCTATTTCTCTTGAAATATGAACACATCGAAAAAAAAAAATTATGCTATGGATGAGATAATTTGGCATTTTCAAATTTTAAACTCCTTGAAATTTTTAATGCCCAACATCAGGACTGTGCATGCTTATCTTCATCAAACTTCGTGCAAAAGATTCCAAATATACATATTCCAAAGATAATCCTCACCTGATCTCTCGTCCCGCTCTGTTTTGTTTTGTTATTTTTCAGTATATATATATATACTCCGAAGTATTATAAATTTATATATTAAACATTTTATAATAAATTAAAAATAGAGAAAAATAATTTATTTTGGACAATTTGATTCCCCAAGTTCTAATTGACTTAAAAATAAGTTGAATCCAATCAAATTAAATCAAAACAATAAGCTGATTTATAGCCACATTAGGGATTATTTGGTTGACTGAAAAATAATGTAAAAGGAATTCATGTAAGATGAATACTTTGGAGTTGTTTTGATGAGTGGTGGTCGGTAGGCAATAGCAATGGTGACTGATCGACCAATAGCGGGCTAGGTGGCGGGGGTGGTTGGTGGTCTCCTGCAACTTCCGATGGCCCCCGGAGATGGCAGACATCTACGGTGGTGAGCAACGGTGGTCGGTGAAAGCTTGTGGCCCAGCAATGACAGGCGATGTTAGGCAACTCGGGCATGGCCGCACAATTGCAATAAATTTACTATGTATTTGAAACATGTCCAAATCAGAAGAATTCCAAATATGCAAAAAAAATGAATTGATGGTAAATTCCAAATGTGCTAAAAAATATTTACATTGTATTTATTTTACTTCAAATAAGATATTAATATTTTCAAAACTCTTGTATTAGAAATATTTTACACTCTTTTTGAAGGTAATCAGCCTTAAATTGTTAAACTAAATATATGATATTTTCATCCCTATGCAATACGAAAAGGTGTAATTCTAATGAAAAAAAATTATATAAAAATGTACTTATTTTTCAAATAATCAAAATGAGCTTTAACATTTATAAAATAAATTTTAAATGATTATATTTAAAAAAATGTATTTCATACATCTTAAAATATATTTAGAAAGTTTTAAATTTATTATTGATACATCATCAAAAAATTATCTTGATTAGGCATGAATTTTGAGGCAAAATCAAGTTGGAAGCTTCAAAAATTATAATTGAGACCATCCAAGCTCTGATTTCTGCAAACTTACAATCGAACTAAGCGTATCAGAAATACGAACCCAACGGCTACAACCATTTGGGGTGGTAGTGGGTGGTCGGCGGCGGCATCCGGCGGCCCCAGAAGATGGTAGGCATTCGTGGCGGTGGGCAGAGGTGGTCAATGACAACTGGTAATCAGCAATGGTAGGCAATGTATGCAACTTAGGCGTGGTAGCGGGGCGGTGATAATTACAAAAATGAATTGACGGTAACTTCCAAAAGAGCCAAAAAGTTTTTATAATGTATTTATTTTGCTTCAAAATACTTACACTCTTTTACAGGTAACCAACGTTAGATTCTTAAACTAAATATATGATATGGTCATCCCTATGTAATACGAAAAAGTGTACTCGTAATGAATAAAAATTATATAAAAACGTCCTTATTTTTAAAATAATAAATAATGAGCTTTAACATTTCTAAATTTATTTTTAAATTATTATATTTACAAAAAATGTATTTCACGCATCTTAAAATATATTTAAAAAGTTTTAAATTGAATATAATTAATTTTTTTCTCATAATATTTAACATAATTTTTATAATTTTAAATTATATTTTATAAACTTCAAAATTAGATTAATATTATAACTTTAATTGAGATGTTTTGAATTTTTTCATTCAACCGCATAGTCAGTCTCCAGTCCACCAGCCCCACCCCGATGTGACCCAAGAAGCATACCCACAAGGCCACAAGACTTTTTTCCAAGCAGGTCCCACATTCTATTAAACTACTCCAGCGGCACAACATAACATCACACTATATAATTCGAACCCAGAAGCGGCCCACTCCTATCGCAAAATGGCCGACTACGACCGCTCCCCCGCCTCCATCATGGCCCTTTCCCAACCCTGCGACGACGAAGACGAAGAAGCCAACGGTCTCCGCCGCAGCAGAAGCGCCGGTGAAGCCTGTAGATCCATTTCCACCACCTCGGTTCGTAAACCGCGCGGCCGACCGCCCGGTTCAAAAAACAAGCCAAAGCCGCCGGTTGTTATAACGCGTGACAGTGAGTCTTCAATGCACCCAGTTGTCCTCGAACTCGCCGCTGGGAGCGACATACTCGACTGCGTCGCCGCCTTCGCTCGCCGCCGGCGCATCGGCGTTTCTATCCTAGGCGCTAGTGGTGTTGTTTCAAGCCTTGCGCTCCGGCAACCGGCGACGCCTTCGGCGACTTTTACTTTATCTGGTCGGTTTGATATTCTGTCTCTGTCTGGCTCATTTCTGCCTCCGGGCTCCTCAGCTTCGGCGGCTGCTGGATTTACGATATCAGTGGCGGGATCGAGAGGGGAGGTTATAGGAGGGGCCGTGGGGGGGCCGGTGACGGCGGCGGGTACCGTGGTGGTGTTTGGAGCTTCGTTTGTAGCGGCAGAGTTTCAAAGGCTGCCAGCAGATGTTGAGGAGGAGGGAGGGAGAGAAGACGTTGCAACAGCGGGGGAAGGATTTGGCGTGTTGGGGCCTGGTAAGCAGTTGACTAGTCAACTTTCGCATGATATGGTGTTATGGGCAACACCTGCTTCTTCTCGAAGCTTCTCTGCTCCACACTTACGTCCTCCTCCTTCACACTTCTAACTGCAGAAGCTCTGTCAGATTTCTCGATCGAAATTTTTTTATAATAAGTTTTAAAATTATTAGATTTATTTAAGATGAGTATAATAAAAAAAGAAATTATTCAAAATTCATATTATATTCATCTTAAATGAATTTAAAATTTTAAGATTTATTTTAATTAAAATTTTGATCAAATATCATGAGCTAATTTTTTTGTCCGGTTTTGGCATTTTGGTTGTGGAGAGAAAACAAGGGTGGATTTAGTTCTTTTTCACGTGGGCTTTCATGCATTGATGTCATGTTTGATGTACGTGATGGGAAATGGACGGCTGTGATGCGATGGTATAATTTCTGAGATTCTGTCTTAAGATTTTCTGTAAGTATTGTAGCGTGTTTGAACACAGGAAATTGTTTTTAACGAGGACGATTAATGCGAGCAGCAGTAATTCTTTTGCGAACTCAGAGAGAGAGAGAGGAGAGTTGCAATGAAATTTAATAATTTATTGATTTGAATAGATATCAAAGAACAAAATCTAGCTTAGAAAATTGTTTTTATATTGCAAAATAATCATTTATTTTTGTAAAACATTAAATAATAACTTGAAAGTTAAAATAACTCTAAGCAGAATTTTTTTTTTTTTATTAGATCACATTTTTTTTACTTTTGTTATTTTTAATGTCTACAAATGTAACTTCATATATAATAGAATTGGATTAATATATTGTAAATGATTTTTAAGATAGATGAAAATATATTATTTATATTGGTTAAATATATTTTCATTTAAAATAATATATAGAATAATAAATATAATAATATAATTACGTAAGGTTTTAAATGAAAGTTGCTTTTAAATCTCAAATATTACAAAAATAATTTAATTTAAGACTTTTGAAAAATATTTGAATATGTAAATATCAAAATATATTTTATTTGGTTTTAGAGGAAATATAATATTATATTTGCGTCAAAATGATGTAGCATACAAGCATATATATAAAGGAAGTTGAGCGGTTATGTATCTAAGAAGTTTATGTGATAGCATTATTTTATATAAATTAATTTGGCAATATTTATACGTACAGAATCAAAGATACAAGCTAATATTTGGAGCTCTTTAAACTGTTGTTTGAATTGAATGAAAAGAGTACGTACAAAGAAAAAAATTCACCGTAGTGAGAGCTTCACTTTCTTGATTCAAAGACTTCATATGAGCGAACGCAATGGCCAAATTTTAAGGAGCAGCTAAGTAATTAGATCAAGTGAAAGAAGCAGGTTTAGAAAGTAGCCAAAACATCAAATGATTTAGTATATTTTCTAAAGAAAGCTAAATCATTTGGTGTTTTCTGTTTATGAAGAATTTTTAAACTGGCATAGATCTTTAAGCGTTACAAAATGCTCACATATATAGAAGAAATGAAAAATATTCCGCACAGTGAAATGACCGAGAAACAAACTAAAGAACAATGGATGGCCGATTGCATAAGCCCCCCACATATAGAACTTTTTTCCCATCCATGCGGAGCTGATTGATGCGCGCGCGCTTCTGCTCGCTCTTTCTGCGCAACGCAAAGGCTGAGGCCGCGCACTGATGACAGCGCACCCAACCAAATCCATGCTGTGTATATTCAGCTCCTCCCTCCACTTCCATGGCTGGTACAAGCCCTTGTCAGCTTTCATTTTATTCATTACAGGCTTTTTCCATTTCAAGCCTTCAATCCTCCTTCTACCCGGACCATGCAATGCTTCAGCTGTAGAGAGAGAAAGACTAATGGGGCTAAATATTGAAAGAGAGAGAGGGAGGAATGACTTTCCATTGTGGACTGAATGATGAAAAGAGATTTTTCCGCAGAGTAGCAGGGGAGAAGTTAGCCCACGCGCGAGCGAGCCAGACAGATTGGTCAACAGGTACGAGAGAGAGATCTCCTCTAAAGTAGAATTTGGCTAAAGCTAAAACTGAAAGCCTAAAGGGCTTAAAGCTGGTTGTTTTAGGGTTTAAACAGAGCAACAAGTTTGCCTGCTGCTGTCAAAAGTGGTGACAACTGAAGCAGTGGTTTTGTGGATGGGGTTTTCCGGCACAAGGATGGACTGCGGCTGAAATTATTACTTCCAATAAAGCTCATCTGAGGCTATTCGATTGTAGCAATAGCCTTTCCATTAAAATATTTTAACTTAGAATTCCTGCGTATGTTGTGTTAGTGTGACTTTGCAATTAAACCCATCGATAAAATTTATCGCTTACAAAAAATCATATTGATCTGGCACGAATCTCAATAAAATATATGAATCAGAGACACAAAAACTAATAATGGTCCGACCATTCTAATTCCGCGAGACAAATCCAACAACAACAAAATCAATCTAATCCGAGTCCAAACATTACAAGTAAATAAATTATTGGCCTCCAAAAAATTAGAGAAAAAAAAAAGGACGCTAAGAATAAATACACTTTAGCAATCAAAGATGAAGATGATCTTTAAGTTTACATGAAGCGTGATATTAACTAAAAAAAAAAAGAGAATTGGCTGCTAATTTTTTCTCTATTAATAATTCATAGAATATTTTTTTCATAATAAAGTTAGTTTAGTAACCAAAATTTTTGTTACTTAAATGACTATGTACTCACTTAATAAAATTTCAAAAACATCTCAAATAACAATAATTATATTCTTAAGCAAAAGTTAGATCTGCTAAAGAATGTTTTATCAAAATCTTACAAATATATTTAAAACGATTCAATTGATGAATCATTCAATTCCCAATAAGCTTGAAGATGTTTATGAAAATATTTATTTAAGTAACTATGGGTTTCATATTTCTAATTGATGTCCCTTCCTTACATAGATATTCCATCAACTGCATTAATTCATCGAACCATTTCCTGTTATTGATTTTGTCATAAATCTTTTAAGATGCATGGGATTTAAGTGATATTCAATCTAGAAAGTTATGGATACAAAATGTGTTAAAGTTAGGCTTCGTTTGGGACGGCTTTTTTATTATTTCTTAAATCAAAATTTTAATAAAAAAATTTAAAATTATATGCTAAAAAACTATTTTAAGAAGAGCGTGGTAAGAATGATGTCAGTGACAAAATCCTACCTAAATTAATCCTACTTATAGCCTACCAACCTTTACAATTGTACTTAATGAAGCTTGAGATGACTTATTAATCTTTTATGGGGTGTATTTATGTCTATGTTGGCTTTCTTTATTTGTCTCTCACAAAATTATGCTAATAAATTATACATCTTATGCGATGGTTTGAAATTGCCTTTTGTTAATTGGAAGCTTTTGATTTTAAGCTTCTTTGAGGCCTAGTAAATTTTAAGGTATTAGCAACATGATTTGTTGAGTGACAACTATTATAAACTTTGTATTTGAGATGCAACGTAATAGCATGCGCGCTAAAATGACACTGTGACATGCACATAATTTTTCATAATAATTAGTCCTAATTTCTATTAAGATATTAAACATTAGAAAAATCTTAATGTAGTGATAGTACTTTCTTAATTTTATGTTCAATAAAGAAGAAGTTGGATGACCAATAAAAGCAAGAGTTTATGCAGAAGAAAAATATATATATAGGAAGCAAAAAATTCCATGATTATAACTATTTATGCTGCAATCAGCAGTAGAACTGATAAAGAACTTTGAGCAAAAATAACGACCTCTCATAAATGGAATTTATATATTATATAAGTTTATATAACACAATCATTTAAGAAAGGAAATTATACATTATAAGTTTATAAAATATTTAATGGAGTTAATGGAAATTGTTATTGCAAGTTGGTAATAGTACTAATTTTATTTGTTTTGAATACTAAGTTGTTCTCTATAGGAATAATCTTCTCATTAACTAAACTTTTCTATAAGTAGGCCGGGTATGCACATGTAAGTCTCTCTTCTATTTTTATCTCATATAAAATTTATAGCGAGATCATAAAATTCAACATCTTGAAATATCTCTAATATTCTTGTGATCTTTTCTAATGCATGTAAGATTGTGCAAATTTTTTCAAATTTATCTCATTCAAATATCTCTCTCTCATTTTTTTTAGAGAGACGCTTAGGATTTTTCTGTGTTCTCCTCCGCTGTGCCGCTCCGGCGGGGGGCTTCCCACGCCTTTTTGTCTGTTTCTCCGGTCGTTCTTTATGCCGGGGGTGTTTCTCTGGTCGCAGGGAAGTTTCTCCTCTGTTCCCCCTTTTTTTGTTGGCTTGTTTTTCTTCTTTTTGCCTGATGGCTCGCAAGGCCTCTAATTGTCATTTGAATCCGGGTTTTTTGACTGGTTCCAAGAACTCTCGTTCTTTTTTGGATGTTTTAGCTGGTAATGCTTCAGATGTTGGTTTTCGACCTCTCAAAACATGCTCATTTCGTGATTTACCTGTTGTTTGGATCTATGAGGAGGAGATCGCTTCCTTAGCCGCCCATTTTCAATTTTCTTTGGTGGATTTTTTCCATCTCACTGCCCTAGTTTGGATTATATCCGTCGTTTTTTATTTAACCTGAAACTCTCGGCTGAATTTTCGGTAACCTTACTGGATGCTACACATGTGTTGATTAAACTGTCGAACGATATGGATTATAGTAGAGTTTTTTTTTGCCATTGTTCATATCTGGTTTTCAATTGTTACATGAAAATTACTAAATGGTTGCCTACCCTTGATATCAGTGTGGAATCTCCAATTATTCCCATCTGGGTCTCTTTCCCTAACCTTTGGCCTCACATTTTTGCTCCCAAACTCCTTTATGCAATGGGCTCTTTGTTTGGTATCCCCCTTAAAATTGATTCTGCCACTTCTGTGGGTTCGCGGCCTTCTTTGGCTCGTGTGTTGGTGGAATTAGACATTACTAAATCCTACCCTGATAAAGTTTGATTGGGGTCTGAGCAATTGAGTTATGTTCAACATGTTCAAATGGAGGTGTTTCCCCCTTTCTGTGAGCTGTATAAGGCCATTGGGCACAAGCGGGATGAGTGTCGTTCTGCTTCTTATGTTCCTAGTTTAGTTGTCC